GCTGGAAAGCTCCGTTGCTCTTGCAGCTCAGCTGTGATTGGCTTGGGGCCACTGACCTCTGACCTTGGCTGGGCAGATGACGCAGCCTTGGTACCTGATGATGGGAATCTGATGCCCCCGAGCAACCCCCTCTCTGGGGCTCTTATCTCCCTGTGCTGTCACTGTCTGTCCCATGCTATTTCTGCTCCCAGACCAGAGATCCCCAAGGGCAGGGATGGAGTCTTGTTCGTCTGTGTCCCTCACCCAGCACAGGGCCAGCCAGAGCAAGCTGAATGAGGTGTGTGCAGGCTTTCTGGCCTTGGCCCTGGAGAGAATTTGTTTGGTCACACCTCGCTTTAACAAAGTCATCACTGGTGACACAAGAGAACCCAGTTTCTGACTTGAGGAGCTCCGCATTGGATAGGGGATCCCACAGTGACAGCCTAGTGTGATCAGAGAGACTGGAACACGCAGTACTGTGGGAGCCCGGAGGAGTGGGGAGGTTCTCTGTGGAGAAGGCTGGAAGGCTTTCCAGAGGAGGAGGCATTTGAGCTGAGGCCCAAAGGATGAACAGAAGTCAGTCCATGCAAGAGTTAGACAGAGGGTACAGCCTGGCAAAGGTCTGAAGTCCCAATTTTGTGGGGCAGAGTGAGGAATTAGAATGTGCAGAGAGTGGGCTGCTGGGCCTCTATTGGCTCTGGAGGCCAGACATAGAGTTTTGGGAGGGGCAGGTTGCCATGCTGACAGCAGGTGGAATGTCACCTATATATGTCTCAAGGGGAATTCATTGCACTTGCAGTTGGGTTTAGGGGTTTTCTTTGGAAACCCAGGGGTATTCAGGGCCCATGTGCTTGGAGTCAGCCCAGGATGGATAGAGGGGCCAGGTGAGAACAGGAAGTCACTCGGGTGGCAGAATCTGTACCGGGACCTCAGTGTCCATTTGATGTCTTATGTTGTCCAAGGGCTGGGCTTTCTCCCTTTACCCCCACAGGAATTAACCAGATTAGGTGCCCTGAAAAGTCCCCAGTTCTACCATCTGGGTTTGAATGCCTGTTCTGCTGTGTAATAGCTGTGTGACCTCTCTACTGCTTAGTTTGCTCATCTGTAAAATGGGATAACATAAAACCTGCCCCCATGGAAATGTTGTAAGGATTAAATGAATAAAAGAATTTGAAACACTTAGAATTGTGCCTGACCCCCAGTAAGTGTACAGTAAGTATTAGCTATTATTATTACTTGGTGTGATTTTCCTTTAACTTTTTCAAGTATTTAAACATAATTTATCTAACATTCGTTATGTGCCAGACCTTGTATTTCCTCTGAAAACAAAGATGAGTAAGATGTAGTCCTCCTAGGGGCACAGAAACCTTCAGTAAAGGGAGAAGCAAACATTGGTCAAATGTGCCCTGTGCCAGGGACCCAGAAATGCAGGCAAGCTGGTTCCTGTTCTCAGGGATCTCCCGGGCTGACTGGGGAAACAGATGCATAAATAGTGGCACCACAGGGCCAAACATTGGTCAAATGTGCCCTGTGCCAGGGACCCAGAAATGCAGGCAAGCTGGTTCCTGTCCTCAGGGATCTCCCGGGCTGACTGGGGAAACAGATGCATAAATAGTGGCACCACAGGGCGAACAGGGCTGGGACAAAGGGAAACCCAGAGGCTGCAGGGGCCCAAGGAAGTGGCCCAGACTGAATGGGGGCCCAGAAGAGCTGGAAGAACCTCTGCTAAGGGGACCGCTGAGAGACCAGGAGTTGCCCATTTTGGCAACTGGACGTGTGTGCAGAGTGAGCAAAGACTCCTTGCAGAAGTTGGGGAACTCCTGGGCTCAGTCTTTATTCTTTGGGTGTTGTGGAGCCATTAGGGATTTCTGAACAGAAAATTATGTTTGAATTATAGTAACAATCACTAATATTTATTATTCACCGACTGTATATTGCATGCTGTGCCTGCACGATCTCATCTAATATTCACATAATCCTCGCAACAACACTGCAAGGCGAGTACTGCCAACATTCCCATTTTTCAGATGAAGAAACTGAGCCACAGAGGTTAAGTGAATTGCCCAAGTTCACATAGCTAGGAACAGACTCGAATCCAGGCAGTCTGACCCAAAGGCCCATCTTTCCACCTGCTGCCTCTGAACTTCAACCCACATAATCATCTTAAAGCTGGAAGGAGTCTAAGAAACTCCCCACTTCCTCCACTTCACAGATGAGAAACTGAAACTCAGAAATGGGACTGACTTTCCTAAGACCACAGAGTAGAGGAAGAGGGCTGAGCCGGATTGGACAGTGTGGGCCACAGAAGGGGCTTCCATCCTGGGTTCCACAGCCCAAGCATGCTGCTAGCACTCCGGGTCATTGTGCTTGGCACAAAATCCAAGTTCCTTGCTGTGACTTACAAAGCCCTCATATGACCAGGGCCTTGCTGACTCCCTCCAGTCTCACCTGGTACACCCACCCCTTCCCTGTCACCAGGCCCCAGCCCACCTCGAGGCCACTGAACTGATAGTCCCTCTGCCGGGAATGTTCTTCCACCTGATCTTCATGTGGTCAGGATCCTTCTTGCCATTCAGTGAAATGTCACCTTCTCAGAGGCCTTACTTGATTGACCACCTTCTCTAAAGTTACCCCCATCACTCTCACATCACCCCGTTTTATTTTTCCATACCATTTTATGATCATCTGATACAATCTTTTTTGTTTTCTTGCTGTTATGTGTCTCTCCCAACGACCATATAAGCTGCAGGAGACCAGGGAGGGGCCTTATCTATTTCTACACTGTATCCTTGAGCCTTGAACAGTTCTTGGCATATAGGTGCTCCATACGTTTTTGTTGAAAGCATGCCTGTATTTCATTGTCTGTTGATGGTCTATCTCCCCATCAGTCAGGGACCTCCCTTGGTACCCCCAGGCCCAGCACAGGATTGGCATAGAACAGGGCCCAAATACGCTTGTTGAATGACTGAATGTACAAGGAATAGAAGGGGTAATGGCAGGAGCACCTTGCTGGGCTCTCTGGGGCCTAAAGCCCTTTCTGGTAGGGTGGCCACAGCCATTGTCACTGGGCTGCCCTTTGGGGGACGTAACAGGGCTCAGGGGGCTGCTAATAAGACAGGGTGGCTTCCAGGCCTAGGGCTAACAGCTCCTATCCTGCTGAGGAGGTGAAGGGGCAAAAGATGTGCAGGTGGGCCTAACAATGGACCTTGGTACCTGCCAGCTGGTCCATTTTAGCAGGCAATGCTCTCAAACCTCATTCCCTAAGGAAGGTTGTGTGGGCTGGGCCAGGCTCACCAGCAGGAGGCTGAAATCCAGATTAGGCTCTGCTCTTGGCACCTGCATCTGGCCGGGGTGAGGTGGGGCTGCAACCCTCCAGAGAAGGCACCTTGTCATTCATGCAGAGGCCAGTAGGGGCAGATGGAGGCCCTGGGTGTATGTCCCCTAGCAGCAGGGACGACACATCCCTTCTGTGGACCTCCACAATCCTGCCTTTCTCCATCTCAGAGAGATTACCCTGTCATCGCTGCAGGTTCTCCTGATTGTCCACCCCTCTGCCTGGGCCCGTGGAGAGAACTGAATGAGGGTGAATGAATAGTCTGAGCACCAGGCCCAAGCCACCAGCCTCACATCCCCGCCTGTGATCACATAAGCATGCAACATCCACAGATGCACATGGCACAGAAATCAGCTACGTGGACTTGTTATATCCGTCTGGAGCCGATGACAGGCGCAGAGGTCCTGCCCCACGCCCTCAGCTTCTTCCTGATCACGCACACCTTGGTGCCTCGGCCCCTACTCCCCTCCCCCACCCCACTCGCACTGCACAGACCTGTGCGCCCTTCTGCCCAGGCTCACTCCTAGGCATCCCTCAGTCCACGATCGGCCTGCCACCTCCTTCGGGAAGCCTGTGCTGCTTCTCCTGGACCTGCTACTCCGGGAGCAGGGGTCTCACTTGGCCCATCCTTGCGTCTGCAGCACCCAGCACGAGGGCGGGCCCAGAGCAGGGTCGTGGAGTGCCCGCTGAGGGAGGAGTGGACCAAGGACAGGAGGGAGGAGGGAGAGGAGGCGGCGGCGGGAGGAGTCTGGGGCGGGGGAGGCGGCAGGAGGGAGCGCGCGCGCCGGCGGCGGTCGCCCAGGGCCG